ATATTTAGAAATTCCTACATGAACTAATCAATGTTCTAAATTCAGTTCTCAAGTTTTCAAACAGTAGGACTACATATCAGTATCTGCACTCCCTTGGATATCATTAGCTGCTTTTTCAATAAAAATGGAACTCGTAAATACAGTGCAGGGAACTTATTTTGTTACATAAACCAGCATCAACATAAGCATTAGTAGCATCAGGATCGAGCTACCATCAGCATCAGCATTTAAAAAACAGCATTACCAGGATCAGCATCAGCAAGCAAAGGATAAAACCAGCATTGACCTACATAAAATCAGCATTATCCTACTAGCATCAGAAAATCAATGAGTTTTAATTCAGTAAAAAATTAAAAAAGAAAGAAAGAATATTGCTTAAAGTATTCACATTATTGAAACATAGTGAGATATTATGATCAAATAATTGTAAAAGGCACTTTTATTGCTTTAAACGGCAATGCTGAAATTCATTATTTACTTCCAGTAGCATGATGCTACTTCCGGTAGCATTGACCTAATTATAAAACAGCATCAGGATAAGGATTACTAGCATTAAATCAGCAAGCAAAGGAAGCATTCAAATCAGCAAGCAACAGAAGCATTCAAATCAGCATCGATGCTGTAACAAAATTAGTTTCCTGCACTGTATACTTACCTTGTCATTGGTCATTTGCAAAATTATTTTGTTAAAAAACATTCTGATTGTACACACAAGTACTCTGAAGTTGACATTAAAAAGATGCTTGAGTTTCTGATTGACAATATCTATGTGGTTTTTGGAGACCAGGTTTTCCAACAATCTATTGGAATTGCCATGGGTACCAATTGCGCCCCGTTATTAGCAGACCTTTTTTTGTTATCATATGAAGCAGAATTTGTCCAAAATCTTGTGCGTGAAAAGAAGAAAAACACTTGCTGTGGCCTTCAACTCGATATTTAGATATGTCGCTGACGTATTCTCATTTAACAATGGCTATTTCCATTCTGATGTCGATACGATATATCCTGGTGAGCTTGAGATAAAAGATACCACAGAGTCTGACACATCTGTTTCATATTTGGATATTTTACTTGAAAAAGACGTTAATGGTAATCTAACAACCAAGCTTTATGATAAACGTGATGACTTTAACTTCTCAACCGTCAACTTCCCTTACTTATGCAGCAATATACCTTCATCACCTGCATACGGGGTATATAAGTTTTATACATTAATGGCATGTTTTTATAATATCCATGGAAATGTGTTGTAAAATAAACACACATAAAGAAAAAAGAAAAAAAAACAAAAACAAAAAAAAAACAACTATCTAGTCAAATGAAAAGTAAAGAAAATAACAAATGAGCCATTCCAAGCAACAACACCCCCGCACCCCATGTAATTTTTTTTTCTTTCGAAAATTACTTTTTCTTCAAAAATAAAGTACACCTAGTGGTAAATATAACCTGTAAATATTACAGGTGAGTCTTGTCTCGTTATAGATTTACAGATAATCAAAATATATGTTACCCGCCAAGCAAAACCTCCCTATAAGGACTTTTGGTCAAAATGTGGATTTTTGCATATCCTAGGAGAACATTAATTAAGCTCTTTAGCATGAAGTGAAATATATGATGTATTCTGCCCTGACGCCATTTTCTTCTAGCGACGTCAAACGAAATGCATTTATCATGACGCCATAAATAAGAGAGTTGTCACAAAAAAGGGAAAAAGCTTTTTAAAGTTTAATACATGTACAATGTTAAAATTTTCAAATTTACCTCAGGGGGATGAATATTTTATTCAGAATGGGGGGGGGGCATTTTTTATAAACAGATTTTTTTATCATTCCCTCTCAACACAGAATTTTTATTTCTAAGATGACCATAAGACAGATTATTTATTTTCTTCCCTGGAAGAAGATAAGCAAATAGAAAAAAAGGAAAATAGAAAACCAAACTCTAAATTTGATGACTGTGTTATGCGGTGTGCGTTTTGGGGGGAGGGGGGGGGGATCAAAGGCAAATTTTATGAAATCATACACGTATTATGTCTCCCCTTCCAGGGGAGACATATTGTTTTTGTCGATTTTCTTCTTCTTCTTCATCCAAATTTTGTCCAGGCCGTAACTTTAATACCCTTTGACATTAAGACTTCAAACTTGGAACATAGATAGATGACATTGAGAAGGAGTGCATGCTACCAACATTTTTGACCTTGACCTATTTATAAGGTCAAGGTCAATCTTTTACATCAAAATAGAGTCCAAGCCATAGCTTGAGTACCCTTTGATATTAGGACTTCAAACTTGTAACAGAGAAAGAAGACATTGATACAAGATGCAACACACCAAATTTTTTGACCTTGACCTCTTTTCTTCCTCAAGGTCAAATAGGGAAAAAATTTGATTAGACCATTACTTAAGAATCCTTTGTTATAAAGACTTCAGGCATGGAACATGCAGAAGTGGTATGAAGGAGGGATGCATGCCACCATAATTTTTGACCTTGATTCAATTATTATAAGGTCAAGGTCAATCTTTTACATCAAAATAGAGTCCAAGCCATAGCTTGAGTACCCTTTGATTTAGGACTTCAAACTTGTAACATAGAAAGAAGACATTGTTACAAGATGCAACGCTTCAAAATTTTGACCTTGACCCCTTTGTTAAAGGTCAAATAGAGAAAACATGAATAGACCATTACTTAAGAACCCTGACATTAAGACTTCAAACTTGGAACATGGAGAGGTGGTATAGAGGAGGGGTGAATGGCAACATTTTTTTCACCTTGACCTATTAATAAAGTCAAGGTCAATCGTTTACATGAAAATATAGTCTAGGTCATAACTTGAGAACTTTTTGACATTAGGATTTCAAACCTGGAACAAGGAAAGACAACATTGAGACTAAATGCACTGCATCAAAATATTTGACCTTCACCACTTTCTTCAAGGTCAAATTAAGAAAAACATGACCAGACCATTACTTGAGATCCGTTTGACATGAAGACTTGAAATTTTGTACACAGAATTTGAGTTGAGATGCACTGCATTATTATTTTTGACCCTGATCATATATTTGCACTCATTAATGTTGGTAAAGAAGGGGAGACGTGTTTTTTTGTAAAACAAAAACAAAAAAAAAAAAAAAAAAAAAAAAAACAATACCCACTAGTTAAAATTATAAGTGTTAACATTGTCAAATTTTAATTATTATCATTCATAAGTCTTTTGATGCCTTGAAATTTCACCACTCGCTACTCACCATCAACAGGAGTACAGGTTGTGTCTTTCCATGGATCCTGAACGAATGGACGGATTCTTTGATACAGGTACTTCTGTCTCTCCTTTGTTAAACTACCGGGTTGGATGGACCTTGGACGAGCACTTGTATCGAAGAATTCTGGGTTGTATTTCAAGAGTTTAAAAGCAACCTTTTATCGTTTTTTGATTTCTGGCAAAGTACGAATCCGGGCCTGTCTAGCGTAAATCTGAAAATTTGATACCTGGTATTCCCTAATCCTTTAACAGGAGAGAAAATAGATTAAAAAAAAAGCCATCCAATCTAATCACATCCATGTTTCCTCCCCCTCAAAAAGAACTGCGTTGTTCAAATAGCAGGTTTTGTCTACGATGCCACGTAAATCTGCAATACCGTTGCAATCTGTTCTCCTATACAGACGCTTGATGTGGGCTAAGTTTGAGTCAAACAGGCATATACCAAACAATAATGAAAAATGCGTTGAATAATGGTATGCATTTTTAATTTAAAAGTGAAGCGTACCTTGCATGACCTGGAACATGCATCATAAAAGTAATTTGCTGCTGATGTTTATTGTTTATCTAAAACACTTACGTGAAATTGGTCCATCAGCATTCATTAATTTTCTTAGTTGAGAATGTAAAAAAAATTCAGTGACTTACACATGCAGAAATGAAATATGCGTTTTCACATCATTGATTTTAAAGGCAAATTTTGACGTAATTGAGCTAAGGGAGGTTTTTGTTGGCGGGTCACATTTTGAATAACATTTAGTATTGAAAAAATCCTGCAAATTAATGTGCGTAAATTATCGTGTGACCTTTATACTCTACAAAATATCATATTTTGGGTACATGTATTAAAAATCTACACAGGCAATACGTTTTCCCCCCAAGCTTTTTATAACTTTAGTGCTGATCAGTTGAAAGTATCATGTAGTTTAAAAAATGAAAGAAAAAATTGGGGGCCATTGACGTAAATTTTGAGCCAATTATTAGCCAAAATATGCGATTTTCAGACAAAAAAAAAAACATTGTAAATTTTCTGCTGCATGGATATGCAAAATTTGCTATAAAAATATTACTTAAAACGTATATTTAATATTCGCAGTAAACAATAACAAAAGAATTCTCTCAGTAAGGCCAACTTTAAAAAAAATTGTTTGGTTGCCCTCTCCCGACCGACTGGCTCACAATGGCCCGACTCAAAATAGTTTCTTTCCACAAGGTACCTAACTCAAATTCAGACCCCCCCCCCCCCCGGTTCAAACTCGTATTTTATTAATTTATCAATCATTAACCTTCTTTAGCAGGACATAGATGGCTTCCAAATTCTTTTTTCTTTTCTACTGAATCGTTCCAAACTTCCTTCGTAGAGCCTCTAAAGTAATTGTAAACCACTCATATCTCTCAACACATTTCAAGACGTTACAGAGGATACATTAACTTCCGGTTAGCAAGCGATAGCCGAGTGCTTTCAAGAATACTCGTCGACATCCTTAATATCTATAGTTTAAGGTATAAAGGATGTTGCTCGAGGGAAGAAATCCTACCTTACTAGTACGCTGGGTAATTTAAAGGCAGCACTGTGTAACAATGGAAAATTGAACGATAATTGCCATATTTTTTTTAATGAAAATCGACTAATAAACGTGTATTTTAACAATAATTATAAAAATGTGTTAAACTTCCAAACTAATCTTAAGACGACTTAGTTTTCTTTTCCTACACATTCAACCTTGTCCTTTAATATTTTCAGTTTCAGATGTTGCCCGAGGGAAAAAATCCTACCTTAGTAGTACATTTGCTCATTTCAAGGCAGGACTGTGTAACAATGGAAAATTGAACGATTTTTGTCATAGCAGATTGACCACAAACCCATGGTATCGGATCGATCTGGGGACAACCTACAACATTGACGAAGTGATAATCTATAACAGGAGAGGCTGTTGTGGTAAGTATAATCCTAAAAGACTCTGCAATCATTATCCATGTTGTATTTTTGTTTATTTTGTTTCAAGTTTAGTAAAGGTTTTTTTGAAATGGAAAGGTCAAATATATATCATGAAGAAGATATCGCCAAGAGATTTTTTTAAAGTGAGAGAGACGAACAGCTTTCTGAAAGAAAAAAAAATTTGCAATCCATTGAACATGCCTGAGCATACAAACTGTTTTTAATTTTCATCCTTGTCTGTTGTACTCTGTCTTTAATCAATTTAACAATTTTAGCTGCCGCTTTTAAATTGTGGCATACATTTTGCAAAATTGAATAGATTTAGGCAAAGGATGAAAATTTGACGGTTTTTTTTCTTGGTTTTACTTAGATAAGACCAATATTGCAAGCCAATTTTTTCTAAGCGCCTCCACCACTCACAAATCTAGGGTTTATGTGAAGTAGAACAGAACAGAACAATTGCCTAGCAAAGATTGGATATACTGCAAATCCAGGTTGGCTATTTCGGTCAAAGGGGGGAGTTAAATTGAAACTAATGGTCTTCAATACAACCAGAAATCAAACTGTTTATTAAAGAAGCAATATCTCCCTCAATCCCAGTTTTAAAATCTATTATATGAGAGATAGGAATGGAGGCCCAGGACCCTGCAACTGGCTGGGGCAACTTTGATCACATCAATCAATATTAATCTTTACGACTATAGACTAGACACACTAGCAGATGAGCTCTATTTTTATTAGGCAATTAATCCTCTATCAAAGATAAAGAAAAAGGCATATGCTTCTTAAATAGGGTTTATGCTGATGGGGTGCTCAGTTTGAAAAATGTGCTCATTCTAGGAAAACACACTTGCTTATATCTGGGCTTGTGAAGGAAGATTTTAAGATTTTGTTGAACAAAATGCTTAAGACATTATTTAGAAGTGTAGGACAAGAGAGAGGATGCCCCCTCACCTTTTGACAAAAGTTTTTTCATTAGTAATAGCCAGAAGTGCAAGCTTAGACCGAAGGACTTTTTTGCAAGTTAAATTAGTAAGAGACGTTTGATTTTTTCCCCCTCTTGCCCACAAAATTCTACTTACACAGAAAACATTAAATGCACATTCTTCCCAAAATCGTCATCTTTACCACAGTGAATGATCATTCATTATGTTTCATGACAGTTTTGGATTGAAGTATGATAACGGGGGTTTAATTATGGGGAAAAAACTAAGTTAGCAAGTGAAGTTTGTATTTGATATAAAGACAGCTTCTACTTTTTAAATAATTTCAAAAATTGTTTTTTTTTTTATGTATCTGTATATATAATCTTTTCTTTACTTGGGTAGGTTCAGTTATGTTTCCAAAAATTAAACCTATTAAACCTTCATGAGTGCAAGTTGTTATACTGGTATACACTGTTTGCTTTCTTTTGATACAGTTGATAAGTAGCTTTATCCTTCTGACATTATTTTTTTTTATACAATTCTGATTCTAGGGAAGCGTTTCCGTAATGCTGTGGTACAAGTTGGTGACTCATTAAGTAGTTTGAAGACATGTGGCACTTTCAAAGGGCCCGGAAAAACTGGTCAAACGATAAGAATCAAATGTCCTGGCAGAATGAAAGGGCGCTGGGTTCAAATCCAACAGAAATATCGTGGCTACTTACATTTTGCCGATGTTCAAGTATCTGCAAGCAAGTCAATAACCCAACCGATCAAAGCAGCCCAAGCGGTGGGTAAGTAAAGGATGTATTCACAATTTCAAAGGAATTGACCTATAGGATAGAACGATTTCCCAGAAAAGTCACATTTAAAAATCAATGTTCATTGTTGTTTTCTTTTTTTTTTTTTAATTATTCTTTATTTTTGTTTTACACATTCTGCTATTTCATACAATTTAAACATATGTTTAAAAGAATCTACAGAAGGTGTAGTTTTTTTTATTTCAGAGAGAGAGAGAGAGAAAGAGAGAGAGAGGAGAGAAAAAGTTGGAGGAGAAAAAAGGGTTGCATGCATTCATGAAATATAAACACATATATATCTGTAAGAGTCATTGAAATAATTGATTCCAAGAGTTCCAGCAGGTGTGAAACATATCCTTTTCACCTTTATTATAAGCAATATATTTTTGTGTCTTCCCTGTGCACCTCATTGTGTAGATATAATATATAAGCCATAGAAAAAGATTATTTGGTATCTTTTTTTTTCATCCAAGAACCTCAAAATAAAATTATTTTTTGGTATTGATATTTGAAGATTAGTTTTATTTTCAAAGTAATCTTCAAATTCTCTTAAAAAATATTGTACACTATCACACTCCCAAAGCAAATGTTCAATTGTTTCTTCTTCCACCTGACAGAATGTACAATTCTTATTTTCTGTGATTTTAAATAAATATGAGCTAAAATTCTGTTCAAAATTCGATACTGAAACCATTGCAGTTTTCAATTATTTGTAACTTTAAAAGGCAGTTTAAAAATCATTTTCCATTATTTGTCATTCAATTCAAATGTTTCATTCCACTTTCTTTTACCAGTAGGTTTTGTACTATTATGATTGAGAAGATTACAAAATTGCCCTGATTTTTTGCATTCTAGAAGGGTATATATATTTGACATAACCAGAGGGTTTTGTGAATTAGTAACATTTTCTTCAAAATTAACTTTTTTCATCCACGCCTTAAGAGCACTTATAACACTCATGTATTCTAGAAAAATAGTTTTCACTTGAGGATAAATATCACAAACAGATTCATAAGTCAGGAACAAACCCTCTTCATTAATAAGATCATTAAGGTATCTGATATTAGAGTGATACATGGTTTTATTAAGAATTACTTTTCCCCCACAAGAATGTCAGGATTGTAAAATAGTGGAGTGTTTGCTGTTACTGTAGTTGGGTTTTGTTTATGATGTAGCTCAATCCATGAATCAAATACATCAACATAAAATTTGTTTTTCAGTGATTTCTTTATATTTTTGATATATTCATTTCCGCACGTTGTAACTTTATTTAGATCTAGATTTGGTATAAAATCATGCAGGCCTCTATTTGACAATAAGAGTTTTCTCATCCAAAATAATTTTAAAGAAGATATAAAAGCCTTTACATTTATCATCTTTAATCCCCCATCTTCATATTTTTTAACAATTACATCCTTTTTTATTCTATGTTGAGAGTGGTTCCACAAGAAGGAAAAGAACAGTTTATCCAATTCTTTATAAAAGTTGTCATCTGGATTTGGAATTGTCATAAAAATATGGTTTAAAAGAGGCAAAACCAAAGTTTTAATAACAGTAATTTTTCCTATTGGTATTAGGTGTCTTTTCTCTCATTGATGCAAGATTGATTTTATTCTACTTAACTTCGGCTGATAATTCAGTTTAGACATATTTTGAAGTTCTACATCAAAATTAATTCCAAGTAATGTGAATTTGTTAGTCCCCCACTTCAAATTACAATCTCTAGAAAGGATATCTTGACTATATTTTTTAGATCCAATCCATACTGTAATAGTTTTCGAAAAATTAACTCTTAGTCCAGACATTTCAGAGAAATGTTGTAATACTTTAATTGTTTCTGAAAGTGATTCCTTGCTACCATCAAGGATAACTGAGGTATCATCAGCTAGTTGTGAAATTTTCTTTTCATTATTACATACAGTAATTCCTTTAATCCTTTTATTTTCTCTTATTTGTATAGCTAGAATTTCTGCACAAAGTAGAAAAATATACGGTGATAAAGGATCACCTTGTCTACAGCCTCTTTGGATATTGAAGGATGCTGAGAGATTGCCACCTTGATTAATAGCTGAAGTAATGTTATGATAAAATAATTTTACCCATTTGTGAATGTCAGGTCCAAACTTAAAATAAGTTAATGTCTTTTGTAAAAAATTCCATGAAACAGTATCAAAGGCTTTTCAAAATCAATAAGTAGTAGAAGACCAGGAATTTCTTCCTCTTCAGTATACTGTATTATATCATAAATTAGCCGAGTGTTTCCCCTATATACCTGTTAGAAATAAAACCAGTTTGATCAGGATTGATAAGTTTATCCAAATAAATCTTTAATCTATTTGCAATGGTACCAGAGGCTATTTTATATACAGTATTTAAAAGTGTAATTGGACGCCGGTTTTTAATATATTGTCTTGGTTTTTCTCCTTTAGGTAAAAGGGTAACAAGTTTGGCTTTCCAGAAAGCCTGAAATGTCATCTCTTTGGCTTCATTAATGTCACAGAATAAACAGTGGAATGTTATATTATTTTCTCAGCTATTACAGGCAGTAGTATCGCTTTTGAAAAAATGGGGGGGGGGGGGTGGAGGACAAAAAAAAAACAACGATTTATCTGAACAATCTTTGACAAGGGAAAAAAGGGGCTATCCAAACTCAACATTTTCATTTCTTGGAAGGGAAGGAGGGATTACAACTTTTCCGACAAACATATTTTGAATTATAATACATTCTCATTTGATGATTTGACGTACCATACTGCAACAAAAGGTGGAAGAGGGGTCAAGGGTGCGCCTCTTCAATGTTTGGTGCTATGTGCCTGTATTATTTTACCTGTTGTAAATATGCTTTATTCAGTTTAAATATATTTTGTATAATGTCTGAAAAAAATTCTAACCACTGAATCAAGCACGTTTCAAAGCTATTAGAAATTTAAAACAAAAACCGATTTATTTACCGATTCAGATTTTAATTAACAGACACAGGTTTGTTTGTTTTTTTTAATCAGTCGAACTATGGAAACATGAGGTTATTCAAGTTCAAAATCGGTGAAAAATTTAATTTCAACGTAAATAACATATATCATGTTTAGTTACACCCAATCTCGTATTTTTATTTTTTAGCTCAGATACGCCATATATAGCTTTAACAATTATTCCGAAAGAGAAGATGGATAAAAACTTAGCGTTCCTTTTGACTTTAGATCTTAGCCGCCTACTACGGCAGCAAAGAAGTTTTAAAGCGCCAACTTAAATTAATCTGAATCTGAATTAATTCTCAAGACTTTCCTTATTTTCCTCAATCGTATCCTCTGAAGTGACTTGGCCATCGAGCCACTGGGATTTGATTGATTATCGAGCCACTTTGAATATCAAGGGAAAAATTGAGACACTCATCATGCCCCTCTGCTGCCCATGCAGATTCATGTTCTATCGCTATATTATGTATAATATAAGTACATGTACATGTATACGCTCCTGGGAAAAAATCATGCATAGAAAGCATAGAAAGGTAATAAAATTAAAACGTTACCATTTAAAATTAAGTATTAACACACCGAAAAGAACCCTAATCTACCAACATTGATTTTATAGGCTGTTCCATGAGACACACATTTAAAATTTAAAGTTTTGGCTTTATTTCAAGAATACGAGGAATGATTTTTTTTTACCTTTTCTCGTTGACAAAAAAAGCAAATTAGAATTGCATAAAGAAAATTATAACAGTTGCTTCCTTTATTAATTCTTAAATTCTGGGCCAGGTAAAGAAAACTATTTATACTTTTCTTATACTTTTCTACAGGGGTAAATTTAAATAAAAAAGAATAAAGTGCACACATCCGAGAATTAAAATACTCATATAATGATTCTTTATGATCTTTATTCCAATGCCTGCAGCACTGAGTTACTTAAACCAGAGACATTTATGTTTCTGCCTAAATTGTGCTTTTAGGTAAAATTTCTTTTCTTTGAAAATTATTTATTTATTTTGAATAAGTTCTGTTTTATTTTTCATATATATATATATATATAGGGCATAATTATCGATTGACTAAAGTGCACATAAAAGTAAAGTTTTTGCCATTGTATATATGCATTTAATGTGAGTTGTTATTTATATGTTTTCACTGTTTTCTTTCGTCAGTAAATCTTGGATCCACGCCTTGGCTTATACATTCAATATGCCATGTTTTGTGTATATTGATCCCTGCGCGCTGACCATCGTTTTACGCAATAGCCTAGATACAATGTTTATGTGTATAAACCGTGAAGACCCACCACCACCCAAGTGGTCCTACCTCTATTACTCTTAATGAACACTGGTGTAGTTTTACTTTAAGATGGACCATTTTGTTTAATAATAATAAGACAGACTTTGGTCAATTTTGTTTACATCTCTATATTTAGAAATCGTGTCATCGTCAGTTCCTTTGCCAGACCACCAGCTTATCAATGGCAGCTTACACTAGGGCTTCACTTCCGGTGATTCAAACTTAATGTGTCATCTCCCGAGGGAGATGACAATAATTCCATGTCTCTGTGTGATTGACAGACTATCATTTTCATAAGCGTAGTTAATTGACCTGATAACAAAAATTCCAAGATATCGCCAAAAGACCTTAAAAAATTATGATGAGAACCCGTCAGAACCTGGTGATTTATTTGCCTTCATTTTGCTAAGTGTTTTAGAAGCCTCCTGTAATGTAATTTTACCTTCTAAAGACACACGTTCATCTAAAGATAACATGGGAATATCTTTGAAATTTAGCTCAGAATTTAAGTCATATTCATTTAACTCAGTGTTAGGTGTAGAGTATAAGTTTTCATAAAATTGCTTTGTTTCATCCAAAATTTCCAACTGTTCTTGAGTTATCTGCCCATTGTCTTTAACAAGTTTGGGAATTATTTTACTAGTAAACTTTCTTGATTCTAAACTTCATGTACAAAAATAATGAGATGGTTTTTCCCCTTCTTCCACCCATTTTGCTCTACTTCTTATA